AATTGAATTGAATTGAATCAGGGTCTGCTGGGTCTCTGAATTCATTTCCCAGCTCTTTGGTTGATCTCCATTGGTTGGAGCTTCATTGAGCTGCTTATGCAGCTTATTTTGCTCTTTGGCAAGTAAATTATGAGCCACTGTGTTTGTGATCAATCCTCGCAAACTCAGTGATATTTCTCTGTAATGTTTGAAGCGACACAAGTGAAAAGCTCCATATTGTCGTTTGTTTAGTCCGCTAAAAATAAGCACTCCCTTCACTGATCTGTGCGTGAGATTCATACTCAAGACAACACTTTTCTTTTATCAGGCAATCATCTCATATCAGTTTCAGTCATTTGATACAGTTTTTCCAGTAATGTTTTCATTTTATTATTTCCTGTTGAATAAGGGTGCATTCACACAGATTTTAATGCTTTCTCAGATTGTAATCGATCACATGAAGGTTGTGAGTAAAGCTTATATAAGCAAGTCATGTTACTGGACCTTTGTGGAGCTGATTGTTGGTGTCTGTGCTGTGGAGACCTGCTGCAGGTGGCTCCCAAAGTTAAACATTAGCTCCAGTTTCACTGATGAGGCACTAAGTAAGCGAAGAGTCTATTATAGCGTCACCAAGACCTGCTGTCGAGCTGTCATCGTTACGTAATCTGTGTTTCTATCATTCCTGCCAAGATAGTTTTCAAAAGGATAAATATCCACACTGCATCTTCCGCTGCATTAGTGGAAAGGTATTCATAGATGATCCCTGGGGAAGTTTTGTGGGAAGACAATCATGGCAGATAAAGTCTCACCCCAAATCCCTTGTGAGAAAGTGCTTTTCCATAACCACTGGCAACAACGATTCCAACTTCAGGACTTGGTAACTTGGTGGTGGCGTCAGCATTAAATGTCATTTATTGTCATAAAGATGCAAAAATATGTTTTGTAGCCTGAAAATGACGCCATGTGTGCTCTGTAATTGCCTTCCGATACATTTGAATTTGCGTCACTATCTCGTCTACATGCATTTTTGTCCTTTTAGAAACCAAGACGCTCACATCAGCTGGTGGGCTTTCAGCCTGAGCTGAAAAGCTGTATTAGAAACGGTGGGCAAAGACACACTAATGAAAGGAATTAGGAAACTTTAAATAACACATCTTCTCTCTACCCTCACACGGACTCCTTGTTTCGGGCCCAATGTGGCAGTCAGATGATGCTGGACAGAATTCAGTTTGAACTAGATGGCACAAAACATTCTTGTTTTTTTTTCTTAGAAACTTTTTTCTTAGAAATTATTTAATATATGACATTCAAAATATTCACACAAGGCCTCTAATGATACATATATGTACATATATATATATATATATA